TGAATTGGTGTGATAATTGCTTCTCAGTAAAGTCTTGCAGAGTTAAACCTCAAAAGAAGCCAGAGTTTTCTCCTTTTGAGGTAAATGTTTTTCTTTGCATTGTGTGGGCAGCAACAACAAAACAAAAAAAGTGGCTATTTTGCTGTGAAAGGGAGTTTGACTGTACATTTTTTATTTATTAATATTTGTTACTTTTAGAAACATTTTTAACTGAGAATTGCAGAAAAAATAATGTATGTGGAAATATTGTGATCGTTTATATTCCCAACCACTTTTGTGAATCTCAAGTTCTTGCCTGTCTGCTGATTGTAGTATTCTGGCTATAGAGGCAAATTCTGTCTCTAAGGAAGTCCTTGAGCAACAGAATTTTGAACGTAAGTGTTATACAACTGTTTTCTGATTATTCAGTTTGTATATGATTAACCAAAGTAATAAAATAATGAGCACTACCGTCAGAATGAAATGCATGCGAAGTGAGCTTGAGTCTTTTCTCCTACGCCCGTTTTTTTTGTGGTTTGTTTGCTGCTGGGGTTTTGGGGGGTTTGTGTGTTTTGGGTTTTAGTTTACCTGAAGTGATGCCCATTTTGTAGCAGAATAAATGACATTCTACAAAGTTTACCTGGAAATTGAATATTAATACGTCAGTGAAATGCTTGTCTCAGTAGAAATGGGGATAAAAGTTGTCCAAGGACCAGCAAATGAGGAGTTTGAACTCTGTTAAACTTACTTTACACCAGAGGATCTCTACTTACTTTGGCAGAAGAAACACCGATTTCCTCGAGTTCATTTTCAACAAGTACCATTTTCATGATGCAAGTAATTGCTCATACAGTCCCTCTTTCTGGGCCAGATGATGCCATCTCCTGAAAAGGTAGGTTTCCTGCTTGGCACACTGAATAGCTGAGGGTAGCCAAGGGTAGCTCACTCCATGGTCTTCCCATGGAGAGTAAATACAAGCACAAAGTCCATGCAAAAGCAGTGGATTGTGGAGGGGAGAAGGACTCCATGTCAGAAGGGAGCTTAGCTGGTCTGTTCCCAAAATCGCCCTCCCCCACCTCCTGAGTGCCAACTTGTAGAAGCCCTTCCCTCTTACCTGCTTGGAGAAAAGCTGAGCCTGGGGTTGCCCTGGGAAGTTACATTGCTCTTGCAGAGAATAAACGCAGGTCCGAAGGCAGGATGGGCACCAGGACACCTCTGCATGCCTCTGCATGGTGTCTCCATGCCACCGCAGGTACAGGGAGGCCTGTCGTGGTTTAAGCCCAGCCGGTAACTCAGAACCATACGGCCACTCACTCACTGCCCCTCACTCCTGGAGGGATCGGCCTCAGAGCTGCTGCAAGCATCACAGCTAAAGGTGGCCAAGTAGAAACCGCTGGTCAGTGCTGCTGTGCCTGCCTGCCACGAGAAGGCAATGTCCCCAGGCACAAGGGTGGCCACGGGGTCCACAGCTCCCCTCAAGGGTCCGAGCTGTCCCCTTGGTTGTGTTGGTGGCACTACCCAGAGCGGATGCCAGCACATCTCATGACACCCCAAACACAGCCTCTCCTTGTAAAATGTGCCTTCCCAAGGGAGCCACTGTGAGCGGTGCTGCCAGAGCAGACAGTCCTTGGAGCAGGTGAGCCCAGGGACCGAGTCCACTCCCAGAAAAGCAGGGCAAACCCTTCCTCTGGCCCAGGGACAGTGGAGGCAGAACCTGCCACCTTCAGCTGCACGGCATTCCACAGGCACAACACCCAGTGTGACCGTGCACGTTATCCACAGAAGGCCTAAGCCTTCTTTAAAGTTCTTTGAAAAATGACTGCTACACAACTTTGGTTTAAAGGTTTAAGATTTAATTAAAATTTTCAAAATGTTTGTGGTACCTAATGAGTTGAAAACGCTCTGCAAGACTGTTGGCAATAAAAGACTGTTGGAAAGACTCTTGTGAAAGCTTTTTTTTTCCTCAAGTGCTTTGATTTGCATTTCTTTCGTAATCCAGAATCTAAATAAATATTGCAATTCATGAAATAATATGAATAAAATACCTCCTTTTTAACTTTTGCTCCGCATAAAACCAATGGCGAAAGGGAGACCTGAGTGAGTTCTTTGCATGCTCACATCAGCCTAGATGATAAAAAGCTTAGATTCTAGGATGTATTTTGAAGAATTTTCTAATATTTTAGGGTGAAATAAGCTATTATCCATCTTTTACAGCTTCAAGGATAGGATATCTTCCTGGTTGTTTATGGCCCACTGCTGCTGAGCCCTTGACTTCATCCTGCTTTAAAATTTTGCTCAGAAATCTTCCAGGATCGGTGCCTTACTTAACAGTCTTAAGTGGGTACATCCCACTGTGACATATATCCATAACAGTCTTTTTCTCTTTAGTCCTAAATACTTGGTAAATTATACTATCAGTGTTACATGTGAACGTATGAATCTTAGAAGCCTGCTTCAAGTACAGCAGGGTAGTGAACTAATAAAGTATCCCCACAGCTCCAGAATAAGAGAAGGAAATCAAAACAGAGTGAAAGGTTTTTGCACTGACATGCAATCGCATGACCTCCAACAGTGGAGTGGCTTGCATTACTTGTACCTTGCATCAACTCTGACAATAGCTAAGGCTGGACTCCCGACGTTAACACTAACTTTTATGTGCATGTTTTTGGACTTTGACTTTAAGATTTCTTTTTTTTTCACCTAAGTAGTGAGAATTGTGTGACATCCTTGACATGAGAGTTGATTTGTGGTCAGCCACAATGTTTTCTCAAACCGCTGTGCTGCTAAGGCCTTTCTGCTCTACAATAGCAAGGAATGCTGCCATGTGCCACCAGCTCGTGCACTAACACTTAGAAGTATACAAGTATTTTAGCTGCAGTTTTCAAAGACACAAGTTCAGAGGAGAACTTCAACACTGAAAATACAGACAAGTAACACTATAAGATCTAAAAACCTAAGCAAGCCAGGGCAATGCAATGTCAGCTCTATTTCTGAAAGCTACAGAGATGCTGACCCAGCCCTGTATCTGCAGTTCACACAGTTATATCATGCTTGGCTTAGCTTTTTCTTAAGTGCACTGCTTTTCAACATTTTTAGTAGAAATTATGTCATATTTAATACTCATTTTCACAGTTATTTCATTCAAATACATTTTTTCTTTGTTCTTACACCTAACAGCATAAAACATTTACAAGCAAACTGTTAACTTGTAAAAGATAATCACAATGCAAACCTCTAAATTTAATTTCATTCTTTAAAATGAAAGGCTTTTGCTACACACATTATACATTGTACATACTTGGAAAGACTAATGCTGCTGCTTTAAATGATTAAGACCGGAGTAAATCTAAGGGTGAGCTCTTCCAAGCTGTGCAGGCTGTGTATTAAAAAGCCTCAACTACTTCTTACTGTGCATATGGCAAGGTGTGGTTTGAGACATTAAACACAAATCCTTGAAAGAGCCCAATAAAGTTAGATGCTTACATTCTTACTAAAAGACAATGGGAACCAGTCTCAGAACTTCCCGTCAACGTCTACTGAAGCCTCCAGCCATAAAGTATTGTTGATGGAAGTACCATGGGCCACTTTCATGGTGACTTGAAACAAGATGTTTATGAAGTATTAACAGCTCTAGGTCCCAGGAAAACCCTTTGATGCTGAATACCATCCTGTACTGAGGCTGGTAAGGCACTGATGAACCACAAAGTTGTATTCATACAGGTTTCTCTGGAACAGCCTCTCAAAAGAGTAAGTCTGGGGCTCCCGGCCTTCAAACTACACAGGCTTTCTTTCCAGATCCAAGGCAGGGTCAGGTATAAAGGGATATATGCCCTTCAGCATGATCCTCTTGTACCGCATCTTCACTCTTGTATTTGCAAAAGTGCCTGAGACAGTAGAAGTGCAGGGTCCCACTGCGAGAAAATGGGATCTTGTCCCACTGCCTGAAATTCTTTCCAAGGAGAATTTCCAATGCATTCCCATGCTGTGGTAGTGCCTGGAGAGAGAAGAAGGAACTCCACAGGGACCCGTTGTGGTTCACTGTTTTCTGAAATGATACGTCTCTGTTTCATAACTGAAGAATCTCAGCTCAGGTAGTGCATTCACAATGTACGCAGGTTTACATAGGTTTGCCATACATTTTTAAATACATTGGAAATAGTAAGTAAAAATATATGCATTGAAACAGTACATACACTTGATACACATGTATAGTCACATTTTAACTACTTTAAATAGTGAACGTATATAGCCTCTCTCCATGGTTATTTACTACTGCTTGTTTAAAATACGTTGTGAAATGCCACAGTGACAACTGTTACGTTGTCTTTCACTAAACATGAAAAGTCTGAATAACAGTGAAAAAAATAAAAATACTGCATTGATATGACATATTAAAGTTCCTGTCAGTTAAAAGCTACTACTTCATTTCAAATATCCCCATTGAAACACATCTATTTGTATAATTTGTCACTTTACACTGTATACTGCAATACAACGTTTAGCATAGCGTAAACTTTTACCAAACGATGACTTTTTAGTAAGGAATTGTACAAATATACAGCTATTTATGCCACATACATATAAGGCCATTAACATAACAGCAAGATACATATAAAGAACTATAATCACCAACACACATAATGAGCTTCTCTCCCAGTCAGCAATCATTTTCCAATCATCATCAGTGTTTAGCGTAACGCTTAAGTTTCTAACAGGTTTTGTTGATGTCTTGCAAGATCAGGCTGTGCCAAATGCAGCCTTATCATGCAATGCCATCACGATGCATAGTATCATTAGATGTACATGGACTCTGTCCTGGCTGTTTGGTAGAGTGAAAGGGTTTTTCTGAATTGGGTGTGTTACTGAACGAACACCCAAAGCAAATGATTATTGATAAATACGTTCTCAAAGTTAAATAAATGGTTAGTGTTCTCCCCTGTGACTTAAGTGCATGAGTACTTAAACTACACTTGTAGTTCAAATCTAAAAGCCACAGAAAGGTACTTGTCTCAAGCAGTCCTTTACTTACAGATGTTTCCATTGTGAAATGAAGATTCATTTTTCTCAGCGATACACGAGGGAATTTTCTTTGGTGGGAAATCCTCCTTTGGCTTCTGGGCATTGCTGCTGCTGGATTTACTTCGACTGTGATCTGGCATGGGCTGAACAGGCAAAGACCTGGACACCTTGGATTTCACCAGGCAGCCGCAAACAAGGCGAAAGAAAGCCCGACGCATTTCCTTACTGGCCAGAGTGTAGATGATGGGGTTCATTGCAGAATTGATAACCGCCAAAGCAATAAACCAGTTGGCTTTGTACAAGATAGAGCACTCCCTGACTCTGCAGGCCACATCGACGAGGAAAAGGATGAACAGCGGAGACCAACAAGCAATGAAAACACTGACAACAATCACGACAGTCCTAAGGAGTGCCATGGACCGCTCAGAGTTATTGTGGTTAGTGACATTACGACTGCTGGACTTTACCAGGATGTAGATACGGGCATAAAGGATGACAATGGCAACCAAAATGGCTATGAAGATACTAATGCAGAACACAACATATTTCTTGGAGTACAGAGGCAAAATTGTTGAGCAATCTGGTAAGTTGTTTATACAGTTCCAGCCCAGGATGGGTAAAGCACCCAAGGAAATTGAAATAAGCCAGCAGGTACCAATGAGAAGGAACACTCTGTATTTCTTATTCGCATCGTAAGGCCTCATTTTAATCATGGTCAAATGGCGCTCAATAGCTATTGCTAGAAGGCTGAAAGTGGAGGCTCCCAGGGCAACAAACATGCTGCCCTCTCTAATGAACCAGATTGTGGAGGACAAGCTCAGAGTTTTCTTCCCAGACATAAGAATGTTTACTTTGTAAACAACTCCAGCTAGAAGATCGCAGAGAGCTAGATTGCCAATAAAAAAATACATGCGGTTGTGAAATTTATTGTTTTTCCATATGGCAATCAACACCATCAAGTTTTCCAGGACTATGAAACTACACAGGATCAGAAATGCGACAGTGGGCAGGTCTACGTTATCCGTTGCCTTTTCCCTTAAAATAAGCTTTCCTGTGTAATTATAATGCAGTACAATCAGAGAGTCCATCTCTTCATTTCCTTGAGGGCTGACAAGAGCATCAGCTGGCTCGGTAACTGCTGCCATCATTTGTTTGACCATACTGGACTTCTCTTCTTTAGTATCACGAGAATTCAGTTTCGGTAACTTTCCACAAGAGGGAGATCAAGACACGTTCCTCCAAGCACTCCTCTGGGCAGGCGGTGTGGATCCCCAGCTCCAGCCACCTTCGCATATTAATCTGGGAGACTGGCTCCCAAACCAGGCTCTGAAAATAAAATCAAAAGATGCAACATAAATCTCATTGTCCTTCCATGTCACCTATGCGGGTGCTCGAGCTGCAACATACACCCAGGAGCCAGAAGGGATGCTGGCAATGATGGGACAGCAAGGTCTAGCAAAGCTGCATGCTTATCATGGTAGCTGTCGGTAAGCTGTCTGCCACACTCTGCACAGATGCAGCTCTGTTGCAGGAATGAGAGGGCGATGTGGAGAACTGCTCATAGGTGTTTTCCCCTACAAAATTTCCATGCTGAAAAAATGCAGAGGAGTGGTGAGAAGGATTAGCAAACAGTTCCAGCAAGCCCCAGCATGCACAGCAACCAGCTCACTCCTTCTCAAGAGGACCTAACCGTACGTGGTGCTACCAAAAGCACCAGGGCAAACTCACTGCTTTCTAAGCTTGTCCTTGTTCCCCATGCAGACCTAAGGTAGCAAAGACCCTGAGAATGTTGGTGTCAAGTCTTGAGGCCACTGTGCATGGTACCAACGCCTAAAATAACTTCTCACTGCTAATGGTGCAAAATTATGCTATTTTTGATTAAGGAGATTCTCTGAAGGCCAGTCATCGTAAAATCAATCCTACTTCCCATTCAAATTAGCTGGACTTCTGCTACCCCTTTTAAAATAAACATAGCAAGTCACATCTTCATAAGTATTACTTTTCTTTATTGTGGTTCACTTTTTTTTTTCCTCCTTTTTCTTTGCATGCCTATACAAGACATATGTTTAATGTTGGGGTTTTTTTAATAAAAAAGAGTTATATCAACTTGAATTGTCCTTCTCAATTTACTTCTGCTTTTCTTTAAGTTATGACTTAGACTGACTGCAGTGTTTTCCTGTGGACTTTGATAAGGCTGCATTTTCGCAGCAGATGCTCCTGGTTGTCTTTTTCCCATTGCCATATATAAATACCAGAAGAGACCTGCACAGCTTTGTTAAAGTATCAGATGATGTCAGAAGAACTCACTGTTTTACCAGAAATGTTAGTTTAATTGCTGCATATTTCAATGAGAATCAGTGCTCATGCGCCAGTGCATGTACTAAGGTTGAACAGATGGCCAATTTTTCAGGTTGGTAACCAAACCAGGGTAAGAATCAGGATGAGGTGAGAGCTGGTTCAATGTGAACCAGATCTGTAAAGATTTATTTATTTTTTTCTTTATATGGGAAAGGTAAGAAAACTAGAAGTTGTGCTGGATGGCAGAACACCTTCCACTGGCCCAAAATTAAGTATCTAAGTTTAGGGAACTTTTTAGGAGCTAGAGCTCCTGACCTCACCTTTTTTTTACTCAAGGGTCATGAGAATTTCCCAAAAAAGGAGTTGGAACCAGATGATCTTTAAGGTCCCTTCCAACCTAAACCATTCTATGATCCTATAATACTATATAGAAGTTTCTTAAGATCACAAAACCATGTTCTCCTCCAGCACTCAGTTTTGGGCACTTGAAAGTGGGAGATGAATTTCTAAGTGCCTTCTGGAAGAAGGGAGGAGCAAACCATGTCCCAGATGAATGTAAACAGATTGAAAGGATGACCCACACTCATTCTCAAGTTTTCTTACTCTCCCTTTTCCTGGGTTGTCTCCATCAGAAAAGAAGTAATCTGACAAAAGCCTACAGTGAATTGACTTGAATTTTTTAGTGCATGCAGGATGTTTTGTAATTATTTTCTGAGAAAATAATTTACCATTTACCCATTATTACAATTTTCATCATCATTATAATTATTATTTTCCCATTCTAGCTCTTAGGTGCAAATCACTCTGCTGAACAGACCCACCGGAAAAGACATATTACCCAAGAAACACAGCTGTTGCTTTGTGTCCTCAGTGTTTTTTACTCTGAAGATGACAGCAATCACCTCATTAATTTCCCATGAGCAGAACTGGGCCCTTGAGTTTTGGACCTCTTTTCTGAAGCGTGGTAACAGTGAAGCTATTCAGCAGAATGGCTTCACCTCAGCTAAGGTTCAATCTAATTACAATTCAGTTATAATATGCACACTGTTATCACATAAACTATCACTGTCTTTCATTGTATTGGCTTATAACAAAATGCCACTGTATCCAGATGAATCGCAAGTGCTTTCCACTGTAAAATAAACAATTACATTTGACTAGAAAAGTATTCGTTAACGATAGTTCAACTAGCAATACTGAGCAGACTGGCTGATGGCTGCCTGACAGAATTACATTCAATCATATTCGTATCATTTAAGAGGACCAAATGCAACAAAATAAAAGTTTCTGTAAGCGTTTTCCAAAGCAGAGTTACCATAATGGTCTACCAAAGCATAAATACATTTCTTTCTGTGAAGAAAACTATATGCCAGACTTAGGTCTTTATCAGCCACAACTCAGCAGCTGTAAACTGTCATGACTCCACTAAAGATAATGGTGGTATACCAGTTCCCCTGGCTGAAGGCAAGGCCTATGCACTCAGTCAGCAGAAATCACACAAGGTCTCTTCCACTGTTTGTAATTACTTCTTCTCTTAATATTATTTGAGCAAAATTAGTATCACAATAGTAAATCTTTGCCTCTGACAGGCTAGTGGCAGTGCAGTAGACACACTAACATTATTATTTGCCAGGATGCTCAGGGACTAAGTTATCATGCACAAGCCACTTGAAAGATAATGTAATAAATTAAATTTATCTTCTCCTGGCAGCAACTTATCTTGCTGGTAATATCTTTCAGTCATACTACTTTTTTGTTTTCCTCCTGCTCCGCAGATGGTAACTCAGAAAGCACACTCCTTTTTCAACAGTTAGAAAAATTAAAGTTTTTTGTATACTACAAGAACAAGACAGCAGCAGCCAGGTCGGGAATATCCTCATTACTGCTTCCTGACACCACTGCATTTTAGTCCTCAAAATGTCTTTGTCCCAGTCTCACAGAGGACTAGCCACTACCTGCACAGTATGGCCCTCAGCTAGGAATATTAAAAAAAGGACCTGAAGAGCCTGTCTGTGGCATGCTGTGTGTGGAGCACTGCCTTGGCTAGGTACCTCAATACATCAAGCTCTTGATAACACCACTGGAAATCAGTTTTATTCCCTCTAAAGCAAACCAGCAGATCCCTATTGCTGCACCACCAGGTACCACTAGAAAGGTCAACCTATCGGCAGTGTGGGGCAACCTGGCTATATTTCCTTACGGATGTCAAAACAGCGTTTGCTAAATTATTTAAAGGCAGTGGTACGATGTCAAGAACCGTAGTCAAGTGGAGGACAATTCAGTCACCTCCTTCAGCTATTTGGCAGATCTTTGTCCTCCCTGCTCCCAGGACGGAGGGGACAGTTGGGGCCAGCAGTGAGCACTATGACATTCCCCCCTGGGTAATACTGCTGCCTACCACCATGCATTGGTGTTTTCACAGCTATTAGTGTGGTCAGGGATCTTAGCAGACTTGAGCTTCCTTCCAGGTTGGAGCAGGGGCTCTCCATAATGGCTCACATCCTTAGGGTCTTCCAGGATCTGTATGATCCCTGTCCACATGTGCCATGGAAAGGGCAATGCCGTGTCGTAGGCCATGACCGCTTCATCTGCCCCATGGCAAGGCACACCTCCACTGCCCTCTCCAGCCCCACCATGCAGTGTGGTACAGGCAGAGACTCATGGCCATACCTCTCACCAGCTTCCCACGGATAATGCCCTGGGTAAGACAGTCGTAGTCAATATGCAATTTTCCTCTGGGAATGTATAATTTCCACTGCCAGGAGGCATCAGGGAACTTGTGATAATGGGGATGGCAAAACCCTTCAGCAAGCATCCCCAGTACATCTCCACTCTCTGCTCCCAGCAGTACCCTGGTAAGAGTTCCACGGGGAGCTGAGGGCTTTTACCATCTCATGAATCACTGGGTACTTTATAAGTGGAAGAAGAGGAAATTTCTATTTCCAAAACTGAGCCATGCTTTCTCAATTTTCATGATATCCCGAAATCAAAGCAACAAGTGAGAACAAAGCACGAGTAGTAAGCTGTCCATCATCCCCTGCACAGATTACAGCTCTGCTGCCGAAATGCAAGGGCCATGCGGAGAACTGCTCATAGCTGTTTCCCCCTACAAAATTTCCATGCTGAAAAAGTGCAGAGGAGTGGTTAGAAAGACTGTGAGCATAAAGTGAAAGTGAGTGAGAGAATAAAGGAAAGTGAGAATAAAGCACAAGGACTTCACTTTCCGCTATCTACTTTTGCCTACAAAGACTTATGTGTTCAGTATGCTCACTGTAATTCAGCTGGAATCGTATTTTCCTGCCTTGCAAATATCAATGAACAGACCTGACCAAAGAGAACGAATGGCCTTCACCACTGCCACACACATTGCAGTTCTTCCTCTCCTTTCCCACAGCCTTACACTTGGCCACCAATGACAATTTTAAAAACGGCAATGGGAAAGACAGTATCTGCACATCTGAAGCCAAACTTTTGTATATTTTATTTAGTTGTAAAGTCTTTCCACATGAAAAGTTAACATGTAATTTATCAGGCACACCCTGGTAGTATTAAACTTAAGAACAGAAAAGACTTTTGAGAGCAGCAGCACACTTCAGTACACATTTCCACTATGAAATTAAGCTGTGCTAGATGCAATGAAGTTTAGACAACAAACATCTGCTGCAGAACAATGTTTTAGACAACTCAAATAAACTTTAAAGAGTTTTTTTTTATTTTTGAAGTGGATGTGCTGGCAGCTTACAGCTTCAGAAAAGCCTTTAAAAACTGGTTATTTTTCTTGGCTTCTGTATTTTAGACAACGGTTTGTATTTCTGAATTCCCAGCAGCACATAGGCGTATCTGACGCTGG